TTCTTAATGAGAAATCTTTACCCAGAGCAGAAAAGACTTGGCTCTCATAATTTACAGTTAAGGGGCCCACCAAGTTAACTCAAGTGGTTTTGCAAAATTCAGCACTGAAACGTTATTTTTCAAACCTCAGGGGCTTTGCGTGTTGCTTGCATTTAGTTTTTACCACTGTCTCAAGGAGTGTTAACGTATTCCTTGGACCCACCAGGTTTTCACATTTTTCTTTGAACAGCTGCCTCATTGCAAGCTATACACAAATCCCACATAAGTGCCACAAACCATTAAAATTCAGAAGTTAGATTAGACTTAAAAGTTGACCTAAAGTAAACTAAATAAGTGAACAAACAAACTTAAATGCAGATATTCATCAGAGAAATGAAACTTGGGAAAGTTCTCTCCCCACCCCACTCCACCCTATTGTTTCCCCACTTCTGTGGTTACAGTGGTTAAGAGTACAGCTGGGGAGGTAACTGTGGATGGGGAAGACAACTGACTTCTTACATGTGGCCACCCAGGTGCCCTAGTCTCTCAGGGATGCAGTGCCTACCTCTGTCTAAGCATCCTAGCCTGGCATTCTTCCATCCTGAATGGCAACGAGGAAGCACATCGATGAACATCATTCACTAACAAGTTGATTCATTTCATGTTTATGATTGAGTGCCTTCTAGACTTTAGGTACTGTGTTTAGCAACAGGCATAAACTTCAATAAGTCATAGTCCTCTCTGCCAGAGTGTTTAGAAGCCCATAGAAGAGTCAGAAAAATTAGGTAATCACAAATCAGGATGGAGACAATAGGAGGAAGTAGAAGGTGCTATTGGATTCCTCCTTAAATTATGATACATGCATGAAATTTATTATGCTACACCCTTGATTAACATTCTCTTAAGTACCCCTTTCCTTGCAGACTAAATAAAAACTTCTTAGGTTGGCATGTCAAGCGCTTAACCATTGACCCCACCAATTCTGCCAAGTGCCTTCTCCCTCAGCCACTGCTCAGCAGACTGTCTGGACTAGGAATCCTAAGCTAAGTAGATGCCTGCAGATGGCTTCCACTGAACCACCTGCTGAATAGACAGCACTGTCCATTCTCTCTGTGAGATGCTCTGACATACATTAAGACTTGGCTGCTAGCAGGCTGACCTCTAGTGCACCCTGCACCCAACAAGTGAAACATAAATGCATCCAAGTCAGCTGTGTGTGTTCCCAAACTTGTTTAGACCAGTTGTATTTGCTATTGTAATTATATTATGCAAGCTGAGGAAATATGACTAGTCAAGGAAAGACTTATGTTGATCTATGAAAACTACCTTGAATGGCTTGAAAAGACCTGATAAAGGCACTTTGAAAGAATATTGCTAGCATAGGGTTGGAAAAGTGATGGTAAAAGTTTGGCGTGGGGGATATCTTTAAAAAGGTAAACATCTATACTTAGATTTTTTGGAAAGTGTTTGAAAGCCCTATTCCTTTAAAGAAAAAAATTAGAAAGAGTAGATGATGTGTTATGGTGTGCGTTACCTAAAAAAGACAACATGGAACTATAATCAATGACCCCTCGCCCAAAAGAACAGTTTTGGCCTTGTAACAAGAGTGGTGAATGGACATACAGACATATGTTTGTAATTAAAATAAAATGTTACAAGCAGATACATATTATTTTTTATGAAAGTACCCTGTGTCTTACTTTTGGGAGTAACAACTAGCACCCTACTGTTTCCATTTGAGACAGATAAGGAGACATCATCCGGTGTATTTGTGACCCCCTAAATTGTCCCTACCTGTCACAGCTCCATGACTCTGAACATGCTGTTTCCTCTGCTAGAAAATGTCCTTTTGGTACTTTAGGCCTAGCTGGAACACACCTACTTGTTCCATGCTACCACATTAAGTGTGACTTCCTTCACCTTACCCTGCTTGGCGCTTCTTCCATAAGGCATCGTGTGTGTGTGTGTGTGTGTGTGTGTGTGTGTGTGTGTGTGTGTGTTCTCACCCAGCTGCAGAACCATCTGCTGTTATTTATTTGGGGAACATCCCATGCTATGAGGCTTATTCTAGAAGATAAAAATGGCAGCTCTTCTCTTCTCTGCCCCACATTGCTAGGGCTCAGGAACAAGGCTAGGCATAGCTGCAATCAATCACAAGCTTCAGACCTGCCCTTAAACTGGCAACCAGAGATGCGATGTCACAGATGCTGCTGTGAGTCTGCTCTGGAGATGGTGGTGGCAGTGTGGAGGTGGCTGTTCTCAGTTTCTGGAGGTGCCAGTGGTAGAAATAAGGAGTGACTCTGTGGCCTTCATGTTTGGTTCTTTGACCCTCCCAGATAGTCTGTGAACCCTCTCGTAACCTTTAATCAATTCCTTTCCTGCTCAAATTAGCCAAAATTGATTTTTATTGCTTAAAGCTAAGGTTCCTGGTGATACTTTGCCTAAAGTAATGACATAACCTTGTAACTGTTTCTATGTGTCTTTGTCCCCATGTGATTGCGAGCCGGGAACATCCCATCTCATCTGTGCAAGCCCAGTGCCCAGAACAGTGAAAGGTGAAGCAAAGCAGATGCTCAACAAACCTGCTAATTTATTAATTTGTGAATCAATCACTTAATTGATGAAAAAGTTTCCTCTGAAAATCCAAATCCATATAATGAGGGCAAATGACACCAGAATGTTCCCATTGGCTGAGGAGAACTATGGCCCATTGTGCGTATCCCTCTATCTATATTTCTCACAGAAGACAAGTACAGTCATGGAGGGTTTCGTAGCATTTAATTAAATATGAAATGGTAACATATATCGGATACTTATATACTTAGCAGCTCTGCAAATTGTTCGTAATGCACGTGGAAAATATACCGTCAAATCAGAGACCTTCACTGTAGTGAACAATGGATATTTGTTAAGAATAACGCCAAGGGAAAACCACTAAGCTGGCAGAAATGCCATCTGATCTGCATCATTCCAATTGTCCATCCATGTATTGTCACCACCTCCCTGGCCAGTTTCATCTTGCAGCCCCTCTAGAAATGCAATAAAAACACAAGTATGCACATCGGAAACAACCCGTACTTGCCTTTCTAAATCAAATTCTCATGGAAACCAGAATGATAGGAGATGCAAGTCTCGTAGAAAATCAGTCAAATAAGCCAGGGCTCCCTAGATCCAGATGTGGTTGTTTAATTAAGCAAATTAGCTGCCTATTTACCAGTTTTCTTTTTCATTTCATGCTATACAGAACTAGTAGTTTTCATCTCTGATTTATACCTTGTCTCTGAACAGTTTTTCTTGCTTGATAAAATCCAAAAGGGCATTGATCAGGGAAAATTTGAAACCTGACATTATACATGGTCTCTGAGTATATAATCAAGCATTAGCAGCAGTTATAAGAGTATCATATTATAGGGCCGGCCAAGTGGCGCGTTGGTTAAGAGCTGGCTTGGGACGCCAGAGGGCCCCGGTTTGGATCCCACATATGAGGGCCAGTGACACTGCCCTCAACAGTTAAGATGCTGAACAACAGCTCAACCTGGAGCTGGGCTGCTGTGAGTCGCTGGCGACGGTAGGTGGGTTGCCATGGGCTACTGTGTGTAGCCAACAGCCAGCGTGAGCGGCCAGCAGCTGCCATGAGCGGCCGTCCAGAAGCCGGCGACTGATCTGCCTTGCCCGGGAAGAGCGCAATGATGGTGCCAACTTGGGCCAGTGAAGCAACGTCCTCCACAACTAGACTGAAGAACAATAGGATAGCAACTTGTCTGTTCCCCTTTCCCAATTCCCCAATTAAAAAAAAAGTATCATATTATACATGGATATTAAATGCCCCCAGTAACAGAAAGACATTTACACACTACATGAATTCAAATTATAGCCTATGCCTCAGAGCACTAAAATGGAGGGGCCTTGACTTTTCTCCTCATTTCTTCAAGAGATTGTTCATTTTTTTCAGGGATATACATTTATGGCTTCCAGTCCTTACTTAACATGTAAGCTTGAGTGATTTACCTGTCTTCTCCCTGTACCAGTTTTCCAATAAGTCAGAAATAATAACAACAAATACATCATAGGGCCTCTCTGAATAAGGCACAAGGGAGCTAGGCTGGGCATGAAGTTTCACGGGATGACCCCCTCCTGGAGGTCACCTTGGTTCCCATTTCTACAAAGGTAAAGAACACATGCCTGCCTGGTAAAAGATGTCTTCTGCTACTTCCACACCAGGCAGAGGCTGGTTTTTTTCCAAGCAGATGTGTCACTTTTATGGCATTTTTCCCTGCTCTCCAACAGAATGCTTGGAACATGCCTCCATTGTAGCATTTCATATTTTTATAATCATTTGTTTACAAAGCTATCACTTTCATTAAAATTTTCACTTAATGAAGGCAGGGTCCCAACCTTATTTGTCTTTGAGTCCCTGTGCCCAACACAAGATGGTTGGCACACAGCAGGCTTTCCATAAATCCTTGTCAAGGAAATGAAAGAGATAATGCTTATGGGAGTGCTCTGAAAATCGCAAAGCACAGAGCAACTCTATGGGATTATGGGATTACATTCATTACTAGTGATTCAGGCAAAGGGACTTGGAAAGTACAACACCCAACTGAAGAATAAGGTTATATGATTACCCTTCAGTTTCCAAACCAACAGATGACTTCTATTGGTCCACTAATTAAACTCCCTTCACAGGTGTCACAAAACAAACAAACAGAATATTAAAACATGTAAAAAACAGTCTCTTTCCCAAACTAAAAACAGAACAAAGGAAAAAAATGCAAAACATAAACAACAACGACAACAAACCCCAAATAAAATCCAGGCCCTATGTGCTTCTTTACTTCCCTGGGCTGCCTCTGCCCTGCCTGGTTCTGCATACACCTGGGGTCTGGGCACCTGTGGGAGAGGGGCCAGCTGTACTCCCCCAAGCTGAGACTGCTCAACTGCCTTGACTTGCTCTCATCTAGACTAAGAAAGGCAAGAAAACATGTTACATGTTGACATTATGTCTCTTCTGTATATCTTCAGGAATGTGGCCATGATGCGTTCACTCGCTTATTTTGACTTCATCTCCCTAATGTTTGTGGCAACAGCTGTGGAACTTGGGATGGTCTGTGGATGAGTTTGGGTTGGGGCAGTCTCTACACATATAGAAGGGTTATCTCCTCACTCATTGCTCGCATGCACCAGTGTCCAGTGGGCAGCAGGTTCTTCTTCCATCCATGGGTTGCAGCTGGATGGTGGTAGCGAGGGGCTTGTGCTCTTGATAACTAACAGTAGAAATTCTGGGCTTCTAGTTTATCCTCTCTTTGAGCACTTTTCAGAAAAAATGAAATGAAATGGGCTTGTTGCATTTTGTTGCCATCTTCATTTTTTGTGGACATGGCTGGCCGTGGTACCTCACACATCGTGAGACCATTTCTCTCCCACTTTCTTCCTCATAGCTTTTTTAGTCGGGTGGCCGAACTCAAGGGTGTCCCATTTGTCTGGGAAACTCCCAGTTTATGCATATTGTCCTGGAGTGATTATTTATAACTTCTCCTTTTACTTTCAAAAGTGACCCAGTTTTCGACATGAATTATATAGTCACCCTGTTAATAGTGAGGTTTGGTACTTGAGAGTGGGGCAGCCCCTAGTTGAGAGGCAGGAACATGGCTCTGGGGAGACTGCAGTTAGACTTTTGAGCATCAGATCTTGGTTCCACCCCTTGCTGAGTGGGGAACATGGACAAGTTGCTTCAAGCCTCAGTTTCATCATCTGTACCAAAGAGAATAATAATAATAATTGCCCTGCCTTCTGGGATGATTGTGAGGACTCTGTGAGATTACATGTGCACTAGCAAGCATTGGAGATCTAGTAAGTCCTAATAATAGGCAGGCTCATTCTTGTCCCCCTTTCGTTCTTTCTTCCCTTTCTGCCTTCCTGCCTTCCTCACCCCTCCATCTCCATCCTTTCCTCCATCCTTTCTTTCACTCTTTCCTGCCTTTTGTACCATCTGAAATAATGGAACCATTTGGGTTGCCTAAAACAGAATGCTCTTGCCTCATCTGAAGGCCACTGAAGTGGGGGTGAAGCAGTGGGCAAAGCGATGTTTCAGAATCCTGTAGGTTGTGGAGAGGGTTGCGTTCATTCGGTCTTCTCAGCGAGGTGAGGGAGAGTAGGAGCTCAGTTATCTTTGTTGGTCACAATGATTTACTGGTTTTGGTAGAAGCTGGACATGGTGACATATGCTTCTTCTTGACTTGATCCCAAGGAAGTGAGGAGGGGTTGTCCTTGGGTAGCTGGGTTGAATGTCAGGATTTCTGATTGGAAAGGAAACAGAGGGGACAGAATGCCATTTGTAGTTCCAGGGCCACCCAGCAGGCCCTGGTACCCATGAGGCTCATTGTTGCTACCTGCCCTGCAATCTGGGGACCTGGAGGAGGAGACCTCAGAGGCATCACACACACTGACATTCCCAGCCAGGCACCCGAGGGGTGCATCTCCTCTGAAAGTTTTTGGGGTGATGACTGCATGATTGGATGGCCAGTTGGAGCCCTGCACACTCCCTCCAGCCCTCTGCTTCTCAGATTCCTCTAGTTGTGGAGAAAACGTGTCTTGCAGGAAGCTTTCCACTTCTTCTCTAGCTTGAATGCCATCCACCTTATGAATCTGGCAGTCCAGGAAACTTTCAGGATTGAAGCTCACATGCAAATTCTGCACCAAAAAAGAGAAAAGGCATTAAGAGTGCACCAGAGAGACACACCACCAAATGCTCTGTTCAAGAAAATTTCTAAAGAACTGCAATAGGTTTACTAGGGAATACCAGAGATAAACCCACATGTTCTAGCTGACTCTGCTTTTGGAGGTTCTATGTTGCCTCAGGGTCTGAAGCAACCACTGACTGTGCCCTCCACCCTGAGGAGGCCTGGGATTTGTAACTCATTTTAGTTTCCTATCTCTAGAAGTTGCAGCTAGGATCTTACAAGAGATTCTGGTTTGGGGTGAACAAAAGAGCATAACTTGAGGTTCAACTATTCCTTATCCTGCAGTATCATTCTTGGCTACTGGGACACCTCCAACATAGTGATAGAAGAACATCAGAAGCACTCACCTTTTTTGGTTTCTTGCATAGTTGCTCTAGAGTTTTCTTATGATCAGGGAGACTGGGCCATATGATAGGCTTAATTCTGAAATAAGAAGACATTGACATTGATAGATCAGATGCATGGCAGAGGGAGCAGGCACAATTGATCTTTCCATTTATTCTGATCCAGGAATCAGAAGAATGAGTTTCTAGTCTTGGCTCTGACACAGCTAGGTGAGTCACCTCGGGCAGGTGCCTTGCTTTCTCTGGTCCTCAGTGCCCTACCAGTCCATGGGAGAGTTGGACCAGAGATTGTTTTCAGTGATCTACTCAGTGAACAAGACATAACAATGATATACCTCTGAGACAGAGCCCTGGAGAAAAGGTACAATGAGGCTTGGCAATGAAGTGGTTTGGTGTACTTATGAAACTAAAATTTGCCCTGCTCCTTTACTATATAGATGCTGTCATCTTATTCCTTGTCTTGACTGGCAGCAAACCTTTATCTCTTATTTTGGTAGAAGTGAGAAACAGTTTCTATGTTACCCACAGGCATTGCTTTAAGGTGGTGCTTTTCAAGCTGGAATATTTGCAATTCTTGCAATACATGGCCCCATGCTGAGGGCATCTTTCTAGAGCATTACTAACTTGACTGGTCTGTATCTAAAACATCATTTTTATGATGAAACAGTCATGGCCCAATCGTGAGATAGAATGCAAAAATCCCATGTACTAAATGCATGTACTAAAAGTCAACACTTCAAATGTATTCTGCATTTTTCATGTGTGCCTCTAGTTGCTTACACATTCTGGAGGCATGGCTCCTAAACCTTTCGGAAAAAAATTTGGGAGGGGGATTTGCCCTATATTCAGTTTATATATTTTCACCTCTTAGGAAATTAATTATGGAAAGTCACCAGTGCCTGAGGATGAGAAGAAATGTTGGGCGTATAATTCCTGAAATGCCTTATTCCCCTTTGTAGTTTTCTCATCAATAAATAGGGTTAGAGCTCTGACTGTCTGGGTCCCTGCATAGCCACCCTCTTGATTAAAGAAATTCACCTTTTTTTCCATAACACACAGGCCAAGATGACCATCAGAGCCACACAGAAGAAACTCATCATGCTGATAATTAGTAGAACAGGATTCATTTCCCCTGAAATACAAGGATAATTCTAGGTTAACAATCAGTAAGCATGAAGTGGGAGAGGCTTCAGGATGCCTTGAGTTTACTTAGTACTTCGAGCCCATTTGTTAGTTCTTGAAAGTTGCTCTTCAGTGAACAGTATGATATAATAGCTTTATGGGGGACTTTTGGCTTTAGTAAATCACACTGACTTATGTTAGCAGATCTAGAACATCTGTCACTTGAAATGTAAAAATGACCCAGCATTAAAGATATCAGCATTCCCTCCCTGACTCCCATCGCCAAGAGAAAGAAGTTGAGCAGGGAATAATGAGATGGATACTCTATCCTGCATTCCCAGCCATTTCTAGAATATGGTAGAACAGTTCCCCTCATCCCTCAAAGGGAAGGTATATGCGCATTGCGCTGAGTCCCCAGAGGTCTGCCTGAGCCATGTCCTTTGGATTTTCTGGCCATTCTCACTTCCTAGACCCCCAGGATATCTTCATTATTCTGGAAAAGGAGGCATGGGAGAGCCACATCAGTCTGCCAATCTGCCATCAATAAAGACATTCCCTAGAGGGGCCTTAGAGACAACAGCCATTGGGGGGTCCCGGTCTAATTTGATAAGCTGTAGGTAGTGGGTGGGGATTTGGTTCAGAATTATTAGTAGCTCCCAGGAGCACCCAGGGCCACAGCATCTAGACAGCTACTAAAGATCAGAAACTAAAGGTCCTACTTCCACCACTTCCTTGTTCTTCACAGAATGGGAAAAGATGGCAGGTCTTCTCCAAAGAAAATGTAAAAATGCCCTCAGGGGAGTCATCTCTTTCACTCTCACTCACAAATGTGTTTTTAAAATAAAGTTTATTGGAGTGACAATTGTTAGTCAAGTTACATGGGTTTCAGGTAATACATCATCTGTATATCACATTGTGTGTCACTCACACAGTTTGATCTTCAAAGTGCTATGTGGGGAACAGAGATGCCAGTCATCTCTCACCTGGGTCTTTGGTCTCCGGAGTTTTGAAGCGGACACTTGGACTCCATTCACTCCAGAAGCCTCTGAAATAGTCAACACCAGGGATGGACCGGACTTTAATCTCATACGTTGCATCAGGTTGTAGCTTTCTCTGTAGGAGTGTCAGCTTTGTGCTGGATAAATTCACATGCTAAAGAGCAAAAAAAGTGCCACCATATTTTTAGGATGAAGATGCTGCCCAGATCTCCCAACTCATTCAAGTCAAGTGTCTTTAGTCTTGTGGACGTTGTCTCAAAGTTCTGTCATATTTGTTACAAGAAGGAACCCTGACATGTGGAGGGGCCAGGGGCAGAATTTGGGGCAGAGACTATGAGCTCATAAATGATGTTACAAACGGTGGAGGCGGGCAGTGGTACAATGGGTCTATTCAGGTGAGCTGGGCTCTCCTGTTTGGAGAGGATATAAATCACTCCCAGACTCCCACCTTTTTTTCTATACTTCAATCTCTTCCTTTCTCTGCCCTTTCACCACCCAAGGGGAGATGAAAGGGAATGGTGAGTTTAGAGAGCAAAAAATCATTTCCCTCCGGAAAGATGCCATTCTACATTGTGAATAGCAATATAGAGACAGCAGTCTCTCCAATACTGGGTATTACCCTTAAGAAAACAGGAGTTCTATGGATTTTCTGGTAAAAAGTATGTCCCATTTTTATTTACATTTATATTAATTTGATTATTAGTTTTCATGTTTATTGAATTTATATATTTCTTATTTTGTGAAATATTTCCAAGTTTCTTGCTGATTTTTCTATTGTTAGATTTGTTTTTTTCTGATGACTTTACGACTTCCTTATAATTAAGGATATCAACCATCTGTCAATTGTAAGTGTGGCAACATAATCCTAATATTTAATTTGCCTTACAATTTTGATTATTGTGTGTACTAACATTTAAAAAACTTTATTTTTATGTAGTCATCTGTATCAATCTTTTACTTTCTTTTACTGATTTTATGCTTAGAATGTTCTTCTTTATGTCAACATTATATAAACATTCACCTATTTATTTTCTAGCTTATTTAGACTTTTCCTTTGACATAATTTCCTTAAATCTTTTTTGTGCTTTTGTTGTTAAGTGGAGGGGTTTAGGCATTTAACTTAATTTTCCCCTAAACAGTTAATTGATTGTTCTGGCACTTTTTTTTTTTTCCCGAAGTCCTTCCTTTCCCCACTATAATTGCTTTTCTCTTGGTGCAATTTTCAAATAAAGACTGGAAGAGGGTAGGATCAAGTGCAGTCCAGTGAGTGTGTGTGTGTGTGTGTGTGCATGTGCGTGTGTGCATGTGCGTGTGTGCATGTGCGTGTGTGTGTGGGTGTGTGTGTAGGGGGTGACAGAAGAAGGGAGATGATGGTCTGGGGCAGGCGTTACACTTCTGTAAGCAGCATAAGGTAGCCTACTGCAAACAAAGCTGATCCTTGTCTTAGAAAGGAGAACGGTGTGGATAAGCAGGCACGCTATTTGTCTTGAGAAAGAGAACCTTTCATCTGTTTTCTGTCCATGTGGTGCAAAAAGGACGGAAGGTAAACCAGTGGGTTCAAAGGAATCCGACAACCTGGGACACTCTACCTTTTCCCCACCACCTCCCCCAAACAGATTGCAGGGGGCAGCCAGACCATTTCAACCACAGTGAATCACGAAGTCTAAATAACCCCCCAGATTATAAAGGGTGAAAATGTAGTGGTTATTCAAGAACTAAGGATTCAGACTTAAAAAACAAAAATGAAGAAAAATATTTTTCCTCCTCTCCTTTTTTACTCCTTTATTTTGCTCTCACAACTTCCATAAACCAGACTCAGTGATGTTTTTGCCTGATTTGCCTGTGAGAGCAGTGCTAAATGTGCTACTTTTTAAGGCCCCAAAATAAAGAGGATTGATTTGGTCTTGACTTATATTGTTAATCCATCAACCTAATTTAGAACCATTACAAAGACAAAAAATAGAGCAAGAAATAAATAAAAGCAGAGCTAGAGCAGGACTGGGCTAGAGACGATCCAGGTTTTGTGGGACTCGAAGCTTATACACTTGGAAGCTTCTTTCAGTAAAAGATAACATTTTGAGTGTAAAATTGCTAGTGGACCTCCCCAGTTAAATGTACCTCTGGGACAATAAAATCTATAATATTAAGAAGTTTCTATTTTATAGTTTTATATGTTTATATATTGTAATTTATATATATGTATATATATGTATATATGTATATACATATATATATTTGTAATTTATATATGTAATTTATTTATTAAGCACACTTATATATACATCTTTATAAATGTCATAATCCATAAATGTAGTTGTTCTACATACCATCCAGTCATTTTCATTGTTTTCCTGGCGGTAGGCTATCTCATGGATTAACTTTGTTACATAAGTCTTTTGTAAGTGCGATGTATTAAATGTCACCACAAAGTCATTTGCTTCCTTGCGATAGATGACTCTTAGGTCAAAAGGAGCCTCAGGTTTAACTGGAAAGGAAAAAAACAGGGCAGTCAAGGAAATAATTATAATTTTTAAATTTCATCTATCCTGAAAATGACAGTCATGTTCAGAACACCATTTCTTCTTCCTGGATCAAAGCCTGACTACGTTTTTCAGCCTCCCTTGCAGTTGGTTGTGGCCTAATGAGCCGTATGAGTGGGAAGTGATGTGTATCACCTCTTATCCTGGCTCAGAAACCCCACATGTGTGACCCTATGCCTGTTCTATTTTCACCACTTGGAGTCAGATATTTCAGATGGAGCCCCAGGATGAAGATGACCTGAATAGTGCTTGGAGGACTGCAATTCACAGGTTAGAAAGAAATATTAGCAAGAAATAAACTTAGGGTGTTTGAGCTATCATATGTTTTAGGGCTTATTTGCTATAGCAGCTGGTGTTACTCTTACACTAAAACACATTCTCTTTGCTTTTTGAGTACTTATTATTAACTAACCCCAAAGCAGGAATATTTAAACTTCGAGTCTTCGTTATTCCAATAAGATCAGCTATGATAAGCTGGGAGCCTTGCACCTCATGTCAGCTACGTAGTTGAGGCTGGGCACCCTGGCCCTGGCTCAGAACTTCCGGTGGGACCTCAGGCTGCCTCCTCTTCAACCTTGTTTGCATTAACTCTACACTTTTCTCTGGCCTCTTCCTTCCGCCTGCCTGCCTGCCTCACAGTTGCAGTTAGGGTCACACACACCTTATATGAAATGCTGTTGGAGGAATACAGGTATTACTTCAGGCAGAATACACCCTGAGAAAGGTATTGAGTTCCTCGATGAGCATGTGTGTCAGGGCTCCTCCCCAACATTGACTGGGGGGGCCTCCCTGTCGTGCGTGGCCTCTTAGCTGATCTTTCACCAAAGTCTTGGAGGGTAGTTATCGAGGGACGGGGCAGCCACTTTTTTGCATGGCTGATCTCAAATAGAGATGAGGGAACACCTAAGTTAAAATCTAACCTAAACCTCTTGTTAACAAGACAGTGTGGGCTCATGAAACTTTCACTTGGTAGACTGAGCGGGATTCTAGGCAGTCTAAGCTGGGCTTTAAGACCCATTTGCTGACCCAGTAAAATGAACTCACATTGGGGCGTTTGGCCCACTTATTATCATCAGTTTCTCATAGTGGTGTCTGCCTAAGTTTCTCCTGCATTGCCTCAGAGGTACTGCAAAGAAGAGGAAGTGGCTCCTTCTTTGCCTTTGGATGTCTTGTGAAAGAAGTTGATCCTGTTTTACCATTGTATACACTATGAAAAGGGAAGATGCCCTGAAAGGAAGCAGGGGCAAAAGGGATGGGTGTATAGAAACAGACCAACAGAGAATACTGTCAACCTTTTTACACCTGCCAAGACAGTTCTTACCCTTTATTCAAAGAAATAATTAAGAGTCACGTTCCCAACAAAACCTCTGACACTTGAGTTCCTTTTCCCATCCCCATCTCCCAAGGACTCTCAATGAAGGAAGAACTAAAGGAAGAATAGGCTAAGATTGATATGTATCTACTAAGGGCCAAGCTACTTAGGCCATTTCCATCAACAATAATTCATCTCCACTCTGCTGATGAGGAAACTGAGTCTCAGAGAAGTTGATTAACTTTAGTTCAGGCCCCTGTAGGGTGTTATAAGAGGATTTAAATTCAATTCTGTCTGATTCTGATGCCCACTCTTCTTCATTTAACTTTTGTTTCTGGACTCTGATATGTCCCACTGGCTTGTCCCCACATGTCTGCCTCTAGCCCAAATGGTGTCTCTGAATGCATTCGAAGACGGTGCTTATTCCTCGAGCAACATTTTAAAAAGTTAATTTATTCTTGCACACCCTGAACAATTATATGAATTTAACCTGCCAAGAAAAGTGGGAAGGCAGGAAGCTGTCCCTGTGGCCTTGTTAGGGGGTTCACACCTAAAGAAGGGGAGGTAAATGAGAGAGCAGGTGGTTGCAGGGGAGCTCTGGCTCTGAGGTTCAATAAGGGGCATCCAGTTTAAATTCAATTAAATAATAGTTCCCTTAATGAAACGTCACATTAGGAACCAGAAGAAGATGCTACTGTGAGACACACCTTTACCACCTCTTATCCTGCTTGCCCAGGGGTGCTTTCCAAAGCCCCACGGTGCTGACACCACCGCTTTCCCAAGGGTCCCTGTTACCAGCAATGTGGATCGCCTGTCTCTCTCCATTGCCCCTCTGATGAGACATGTCAGGTTTGCAATCAGCTGGGTGGTACTGAATGTGGACTGCAAAAAGCCCTGGGCATGTGAGATCTGGGGGTTGTGGTGTCACCTGCAGCCTGTGGGTATGCTATGAGGTTTCACATGTTTACTCCCTGGAACACGTGCAGACCCTGTTTACTGGTGTGGGTTTCTATAGAAGAGGCTCTCTCCTGATGCTCCAGGACTCTGTGGAAGGACTAAAAATCAAATCTCTACCCTCTCTGCCTGTTCTCAGAGAGCGAATATATTGATATTGGGTTGTCAGAAAAGTCATGACGCATTTTTGCAACGAAAAACATAGAATAATACATCAGGATTTTTCCGACAACCCAGTATATTTGCGATGTAAATGGTGAACCTTTAGATACAGTGCTCTTGTGCAGTGCACGAACTGAACATCCATCCATAGCAGTGTAGTCTTCAAACGATCAAAACCTAGCTTGCTTGTGTTGTATACTCAGAGATACCTTGTGGTTGTCATCCCCACCTAGACGACACTCACACCAGTGGTGTCTATGTCTCCTTCTCACTACCACTGCTTTTTTACAAGATAGTTGTTCACATACGAAACTTTTGGTTTATTCTTTATTTTACCATCTTAGTGAAACAAAGCTGAGATTAGATTCCAAGTTTCTCTTTGTTGTCTCTAATGAATATTGCTCTCATATTTAATTTTATTTTTGGAGGGTGAAGAGGGATGTTGAGAATAGGAAGATACAGAACAATATTATTTAAAACCAGCAAAGAAATTCATCACTTCAATCATTTTAAATAGCTTTTCATATTTATATAGTTTCACTTGTAAATCTCCATAGGTAGAATGCAGACAAGTAGTTAGTATTTTATTGCAGTGGTATATCATAATTGCCTTAGACCTTCTCCAGTACTAGGGTATCTCTGAGGTTTTGAAAAAGAACCTTATTTTCACCTCAGGGTCATAAATCTTGTAAGTAATGGAAGAAATATTTGTGTCTATAGTCCCAATCTTTTTGAGTGTTTTGATTTACTTGCCTGGTAACCAAATAGCATATTGGTAATTAATATTGACTTATAACCAGATAATTGAATGGATTTACTAATTCATGTTATTATATATATGGGTATTACATAGAACCAAAGAAAACATGCAGATGAGTTTAATAATTCAAATTATATTTTCTTTGAAATATAGTTATCATTTTTTTTGGCAAAGTATAATATGTGTATCTTAGGCCAAATCAGATTTGGCATCAATCCTCAAAAATAGGCCTTTTAGAAATGTGTGATGGTAACTTCATGTGTCAACATGGTGCCCAGTTGTTTGATCAAACACTAGTCTAAAAGTATGTTTTTTAAAAACACAGCTAATATTTAAAGCAGTAGACTTTGAGTAAAACAAAGTTACCCTCCATAACGTTGTAGGCTTCATTCAATTACATGAAGGCCTTAAAAACAAAGACTGAAGATGCCCTGAAGAAGCAACAAGCCTGTCTGAAGAATGCAACATATACTAGAAACACCGGCTGAGTTTCCAGGCTGCCTAGCTCACCCTGTGGAATTTGGATGCAAGACTAAAATATCTACTCTGACCTGAATTTCTAACCTTCTGGCTTGCCTTACAAATTTCAAACTTGGCAGCCCCCACAATCATGTGAGTCAATTTCTTAAATCTCTTTCAGAGGTTTATTTATTGGTTCTGTTTCTTCTGGAGAACTCTAATATAGAAGGCATATTTACTTTTTAAAGTAACTTGATGATTTAGCTAAACACACTCAGAGTATGGTAAGTGCAGGGGGAGAAGACTACATGAAATTCAGGAGAAGGTAGGGTGAAGGACAGGAGGTGGTGAGGAGGGAGGAGAGGAAAGGACAGGACATACATGGGTGGACGACAGGAGGCCCGGCTCTAGTTAGACACTTTGTGTGGTTGACCTCTTCTTTCAATCTGTAGGTGCCAATCACTGTCATTCGTAGTTGAGTTTGAAGAGCCTCCGAATTTGCTCACAGTAAGACTTAATAGCATAAGCGTCAAAACTTTCATTTATTTTAAAAATTATTTATATTAGACAATTTCCTATTCTCTATTGCAAATAGCTTTCATGATTTGTCTACTTTTAAAATCCAGAAAATCCAGAGAATATCAATGTCTTTAGATATCTGAAAAATGGCAACCATACCCCCATGTTCTTCTTACCTATATTGAATATCTTGATTTTTCTGCAGGTTACGATCTTTCTTCTAAGCTTCACACATACTTTGCTGTCTCCAATCAGTAAGAATTTATCTGTCTTGAGGAGATACACGTCTTGCAGTTTACTAAAAGTCAGACACTTTACAATCAAAAGGGCCTCACTGCAGAAACAAAAGGGGGATCTGTCTTAATTAAAGTAGGAGTTCCTGTATAGAATGGAATGGTATCACACGTACGTTTTAGTTGTTTGGCTGCAGCTCTGTTCACAGGTGTGTGAGTGGGTAGGTGCATGCTCAAGGGGGAGAAAGAATGAAAATAATGTAGCTTTTTGCTGTTTTTACTATCAGTGATGATTTACTGAGGTATTAGATGCAACTGAATCTAACATAGTCAAGCATGTTCATGAAAATAATGGAAAATTCTCATTTTTAAATAATTGATCACTGAAAAACAAATGCTTTATTTAGTTGGGAAGGTAATTATGTCTTTTGATGTGTTATAGGAATAAATTGAAGAAATAAACCTGGAAAGAAACATTGACCAAAAATGGGTTAAAGGTGATAAAATAGTCTAAAAGATTATATACATAAAACCATATATATTTAATAGGTAATTTAGGGCTTTTCATAAGTAATTTTGACTGTGCTCCAATTTTAGATCATCAATAGGTTTTATACAGCAAATATTATAACATTATTGTGACATTTATAAGGTATGTAGATGTAAAACGTATGACAACAATAGTTCAAAGGATAGGATAAGTGGAACTTCATTGTTGCAAATTTCTTATAATTTACACAAAATAGTACCATATTAAATCTAAATAAGCTCTGATAAGATTGAATATTATAATCTTTAGAGCAATCACTGAAAAGAGATATTGAGACTGGCCAAGTGACTCAGTTGGTTAAGAGCGTGAGTTCTGAGCAACAGAGTCACTGGTTCGATTCTCACATGGGCCAGTGAGCTGTGCCCGAGCTGAGCTGCCTCTGAGCTGCCTTTGAGCTGGAGAGAGCATGTGCTCTTAGCAGCAAGGTTGCCAGTTCTACACCAGTATGGGATGGTGGGATAGTGGGCTGAACTCTCCCTCCCCCCGCAACTTACCTCCCTCCCCCCACAACTAAGATTGAACACAGCACCTTGAGCTGAGCAGCTGCGAGTGGCCTACGGGCAGCCAGATGGCTCTGTGCAACAAGGTTGCTGGCTTGACTCCCGCTTGGGATGGTGTACTACGCTCCCCCCTCCCCCATGACTATTGGGTTGTCGGGAAAGTCATGACGTATTTTTCTATGTTTTTCAATGCAAAAATGCCTCATGACTTTCTCAATGACCCAATAGATTGAAAGTGGCGAGTAGACTTGGAGCTGAGCTCGCGCCCTCCACAACTAAGATTGAAGGACAACAACTTGGAACTGATGGGTCCTGGAAAAACACAGCGTGCTGCTTCTCCAATTCCCCAACACTGTCCCCCTCCGTAACTCCCCAATAAAAAAAAAATAATAAAAATAAATAAAGAGCTATTGCTCCAAAGTGAAAACAAGGAAGAAACTGAATATTTCAATTGCTCCATTTGTTTCAAAGAAATTAAATTTATTATTAATAAACTCCAAAGAAAACTCTACCTCCAGATGGTTATATGCTGGTAAACTCTGTCAGATATATAAGAAATAGTGCCAATCTCACATAAATTTTTCCAGGAAACAGGGGAGAAATGGACCCCTCTCAGCTTATTTTATGATGTTAGCTCAACCCTGATACCAAAAGCTGGCAAAAAAAGTATTATAGAAAAGAAATTTACAGGTAAATTTCCCTGAAGAATGTAGATGCAAAGTTCCTTAAGAAAATATTAACACATTGATGCTAATACATAGTGAAAAAGTAGGATGTATCCCAGAATATCAAGATAGGTTCAACAAAGATCGATCAATATAATTCATATTAACAGAATAAAAGACATTATCTGGTCATCTCAAGTGATGCAGATAAAACATTTGTTAAAATTCATCATCCGTTTATGATAAAAACTCTCAGTAGACAATTAATAGGTGGACACTTACTCAACCTGATAAAGGGCATTTACAAAAAGTCTATAGTTAGTACACTTAATGGTGAAATTGTGAATATTTTTCCCTAAGATAAAGACAACACAGGGATACCCACCTTCACCATTTATATTCAACAGTATGCCTAGCCAGTGCTAGACAACAGAAACAAAAGGCACCTAGATTGGAAAGGAAGAATAAAGACTTCCTTTATTTGCAGACAATGTTTGTTCACATAGAAAATAATAAAAGATTCTCTAATACAATGATAAGAACTAATAAAGTGAATTCATCAAGGCCATTGTACAAAAGTCAATTATATATTCTATAGGCTAGTTTCAAACAATTAGAAAACTGATTTTAAAAATAACAGCATCATTTATGATAGCAATAAAAACACAAAATGCCTAGAAATAAAATGAATAAAAGATGTTTAAGGCCTTTGCAATGGAAATTTCAAAACAGTCCTGAAAGCCATGAAAGGGGATCTAAATAAATGAAGTTACATTCATGGATGAGCAAATTCAGTAGTAAAAAGATGGAAAAGTTTCCCAAACTGGTATATATAATATTGATCAAAATCTCAGCAGTAATTTAAAAAAGTTGACAAGTTGATTCTAAAATTTATGTGGAAATACAAAGAATAGACAAAGCAACATTGAAAAAAATAGAACAAATATGAAGGCTTTAGTGTACTTGATTTCAAATATACTATAAAGCTATGATAATAGCAGAAAAAGGAACCTTTGTGTAAGTTTGCTTACATGAAAAGAATCCTCATTAATCAGATATTTAAAAAAATCATAGGGAACGTGTTCTAGAAAGGTTCTTTACTACCTACAACACAGAATGTGTGTTGGTTTCTTTGGTGAAAGGTTCCTTACTACCTACAACACAGAATGTGTGTTGGTTTGTTTGGTTTCTTTTGTGTGCACTTTTCTCTGCATGTGCTCAAAGTGAGCCCTTTGGAAGATCATTCCTGGACTCAACAGAAAGAACATGTCTGTATGGCTTGAGGTGAAATGGGCATGGAGTTAACATCTGAGAACTCCTCAACTGTAGGTGCAGAATCTCACCTTTGGGCTGCTGTGGTCTTTGAGTGACTGATTAAGCTCCATTTAAGTTTAATTAATTGGCTAAATATGCTTATTATTTGTGTGATATTACTTAAAATTACCCTTCCCCCCAAAATATTGCTTTTTCATAACTTATGTTTTAGGAGCATATGGTTGTTCTGGCTTTGGGGTGTGTGTGTGTGTGTGTGTGTGTGTGTGTGTGTGTGTGTGTGTGTGTGTGTGTAGTTTCCAGAAAATGTATTCCTTTTTGGGCTCGAGTAGAGAAAAAGTAAAAAGCCAGTATTTAAGGTAAGCTAAATGGATTACAGGGAAGAAACCTGGGAGCAGTATCAGATGGAAAATTTTGAAAATGGCAACACTCTCATGGTTTGATAACTAAGGATAAAAGGAGAGAATTGGAGCAGAATCCAATTTCTAAATTTTAGGTAAACATGTAATTGGAGAAATTAGAAGGATAATGGCTTTTAGTTCAATCTTTGAGTTTAGAATATGTTTGTAAGTCAAGTATGTGTGGAATATTCAGCTACAGATCCTTAACATATAGTAAATTTCTGCTGGAAGTTTAGGAAGACTCTAAAATGGTATTCTCAGTTCATTTCCACTTTTGGGAGAATGAGATTAACGAGCAACAAAAAAATGAAGATGACCATGTGGCTAATCTTATGAACCTGGGCATCCTTTTAAGGGCTCTGAACTCCAGGAGCTTCTGTATGTGTGTATGGGGTGGGGAGGGAGAGGAAGGTATACCATGCCAGGAGACTAAGATAAAACTATGACCTACGGTAGATAACCTTGACACTAATCCTGGCTTCAGGTGATTGGAGGAAACTTAGGGTTTCCCCATGAGTAGTTCAACTCAATTCAATCCAATTCATTTCAATTCACTTCATTAAATTAAAGCAATTTACTTGGCTGCTAACTATATACACTGCTAGAATTAGGAATGTTGTAAGACTACAGCCCCTGTCTCATTTGGTTATTTGACACTTGAAATATGGCTGGTCCAAACTGAGATGTGCTCTCAATATGAAATGCACACCAGATTTTGAAAATTGAGTATGCAAGAAAGAAGGTAAAATATCTCATCAATACTTTTTGTTTATATGGATTGCATGTTGAAATGATACTATTTTGGATATATTAATTTAAATTAAATATATTATTCAAATTAATTTTACCTATTTTGGTTTTTTTGTTTGTTGTAATATGGCCACTAGAAAATTTAAAATTGCTTTCTGGTTCACTCATTTGTGGATCACACTGTATTTCTGTTGGATAGAGTCATTCTAAGGTATTTGAGGGGAGGAGTATCCAAGTAGTACTATAAGCTAACAAATTTGACCCTGTGAGACCTTCCCAGGGGACATCAACCCTAAGCCACTCACACGTATCTCCTTGTTTTGAAAATAGGGAAAGACTGCTGGGAACCATAGCACCTGATTCTTTATCCCACCTTCACCTTTCTAAATTTCTTGCCATCTTGTATAATTTAGCATGATGGTGAAACAGATACTTACATGGAAATAATAAAAACAAAACCCAAAATAGCTTTTATTCCTCATTTGGCCCTGAAAGACAGAATCTATCTGAAAAACATGGAATGACATTAAAAGTTAATATGGTTTACTGTAGGAAGAACTACATTAACAACACTTGACAGTTTTTGCTAGTGAAGCCAAGTATGACTTAGATTTGGCAAGGTGCAGCCTGTGATGTTGGTGGTAGTTGATGCAAACAAAAAATGACATATTTGAAGTGGTATCTGTAGGCGGTACATGGGAATGCCTATGGTGCCCCCAAGAATGTGGAACTAAAGGAAATATGATTGCTTTCTGAGAACTGACTATAAAAATTATGCAGGGCGGCTGAGTGGCGCGTTGGTTAAGAACTAGCTTGGGATGCCAGAGGGCCCCTGTTCGGATCCCACGTATGAGGGCCAGTGACACTGCCCTCAACAGCTAAGATGCTGAACAACAGCTCAACCTGGAGCTGGGCTGCTGTGAGTCGCCAGTGATGGCGTAGGCTGCAGCCCCTGCTGCAGTGGGTTGCCATGGGCTACCGTGTGTAGCCAGCAGCCAGCGTGAGCGGCCAGCAGCCGCCGTGAGCGGCCATCCAGAAGCCTGCGACTGATCTGCCTCGCCCGGGAAGAGCGCAATGATGGTGCCAACTTGGGCCAGTGAAGCAACATCCTCCACAACTAGACTGAAGAACAAAACGACACCAACTTGTCTGTTCCCCTTCCCCCAATTCCCCAATAAAAATCTTAAAAAAAAAATCATGCAAACACCTAAAAAGCAGGGCCCCAAATTCAAGTACAAATGCTGTCTATGCAGGTAACCTAAATGAGAAAAGTGGGTTTAACTTCAGGACTGAGATGTCATTCCCCATTTATAGAAGCAACTGGAATTATGTTCAGCTACTTTTTGCCGTATGTGATCAGTATTACCAAATCTGATTTTTAAAAAGATACCTAAATCTTTAAATGCTGGCAACTAATTTTTAAAAATTAACCACTTTGGGATCTAAGCCAAATAAGTCTATTCTTAAAATCAACAAATTTCTGTTTTGTTTCTATATTTATCGAACAACCTTTTGATCACATTTTAAATAAAAATCAGACTACTCTGGAAGAATTAAGAACCATTTACAGGTACTGACTATATGCTTGACACTAATCTTTCTATCCCAATGCAAGGCAGTTGTTACAATCAGAGGCTAAAAGAGCTAGTTGAGAGTTGCTGTTGGAATTCCAATCTAGGTGCCTGTTTCCAATACTTCTACTTTGTCACTCTAGGTACCTGACAGCTGGTTAAAGTTCTGGGGAATGAAAAATTTTCAGGTCCCCCAGTAAGAGTAGATTCATATTGATATGCAATCTTCTGTCCCTCTTCCCCTGAGACACCAACTCTGTAGGCCCTGAGCCTGGTATGAATATTTGGGTCGCTATGACAGTTGTATCTGTCAATGAGGTAGTCATTTGGAATGTTAGTAATCCACGTCTGTGATTGGGCTAATCCAAGTTCATCCCTGAAAGATGGATCCATGCGTTGAACACTAAGTAACTTTGTTTCTAAACCTAGGAGACTGGCAGCCAGATCAGGCAGGTAAGTGAATCTAGGAAAATGCCTCAGTTAAGCCCTATGGAAAACAGCATATGGTTTCTATCAACAATCCCACTTGTGTAATGACTTAAGCAGACTGTACAATTTTCAATGATTTCTAGTTTCTTTTTTATAAATTTATATTAACAGGGTAAAAAAGCTCCAATAAAGCTAGTTTCATTGTGGAAAAGAAACCCAACCTAGCCAGCAAATATAGCACTCTGTTTAAGTGAGTCTGAGATACGTTGCCTACCCTGAACCTAGGAATTCCTCCAAACGCCCCTCAACGTTTAGGTACCTTTATGAAGCAGCTACTCTCCCGAAGCACCTAACCTACCAAGGAGTTCCTATTTATTGTTTTACACTGAAAATATGTCTTAAGACAATTTCTTTCCAATGGAAATATCTGAATCTAATTGAAAAACCCAAATGAAGGCTATAGATAAGTTAAAATAGGGAAGGAAATATCAAGAGACTTGTTAAAGGAAGTAGGCAAGTTTGTTCAAGTGGGCAAGAAAGTGGTAGGTGCCGAGTGAGTGAAAATGGACAGAAAGGTCAGGCTATGCCTTCTCAAGAGAAACCACAATGATGACTGCTGTCCACCAGTCAGCTGGTTGGAGAACTCAAAGTCAAACCTCTGTGTTGGAGGGGGTTTTGCCCATAAAATGACCACATTGTTTGAGTTGTTTGGCTGTTTTAGTGTAGTCTAACTGCAGCATAGATTCTAGACATGGTAGGTTCCTGTTCTTTCGACATATTTTATTCCTGGAAAGTGTAGTATAGAAGTGAACTGACAGAGGCAGACAGAGAACACACTGTGGACTTCAAGGCCAAGACCATATTTACCCAGTGACTACAGCTCCTGAAAATGAATGTAAGACATGGAATTCAGGGCTTATCTAGGCTCCGTATTGTGGGGGGTTGACTGAGTGTCTACAGAATTTAAAAAGCCCTCTTTTACTACTGGTGGGTCTTGGCTCACTTTCCTTACTAGAAAACTAACTAAAATTAGGTCATCTGTTAAGAATTTGGAGATAGCCACAATTCAGAATTTGATGTCAGAGTATTATTTTTTTGAATCACCGGAGATAGTAACCCTCAGCAACAAGAAATGATTTATGGAGGAGGGAGAAGATAAAGCTCTCTGAGCTCTTTACCAGACTTTCAAAACAGAGACTTTCTCTTTTTCTTTGCCTTTTCTCTGAGGCCTCATGAAACTAAGAGCTGATTTATGCCTGTGGGATTTTGAAAAATTGGTATTGAGGGTATCATCTAAAGTCAAACTGTGCCAAGAAGTTGGAAGTTAGGTCTATGTTCATAGATTTTAGACTTAATGCCTCTTTTTCATTAATTGTTACATACTGGATGTGTCTTCTAATTAAAGTATTAAAGCATTAAATTATTTAGTCATCACAACCTTCTTATCAGGTAGTATATCTCATTTAACAGGTGAAGAAATTGCAGCATAGATAAGTTACATAACCAGCTCTAGGTTAAAAAGCTAGTAAGTGCTGGTATTGGGATTAGAAACCAGGCAACTCTGCTCCAGAGTATAACTTGAAAACATGAAACCATCTCATGTCAGGCAAAGAGATTTTTGAGGAGGAGTGTCCTAGGAGAAGTAGGGTTTAAGTTCTGCTATGAAGCCAGGAGGGATGTGGCATCTCCCAGATCCATACCGTCATTTGGCTGCAGCAGCAGGACCTGAAAGATGAACCCATGAGTTTCTTTGCCTAAGTCTTTTGGTGAAGGTCAAGGAGTTCCACAGAGTGTTTGGAATTCATTCGATTGTAATATTTGATAATTAGCCCCCATCCTTCCTTTGCCACCGTGGCTGCACAGCACACAGAAAGAGAGACCGTGTATTTCCAAGCACCCACTGAAGCCACCTTTCCTCACCATATTTCGAATTCCAGATTGGTGCTGTTGACATCTGGATCATCAAAAGCACAGTTTAGCAAGTGCTGGGATCCATTCACTTCCAACTGACTGTAGCAGGAGAATGAGTAGTCGTCTAGCTCTGCATCTTCAAGGTCTCCTGGAGAGAAACAAAACTGCAGCTTTGTAATGAAGCACATAAGCGCATCTTTTTAAAATCTGCAGTGACTTTAATGAAATGGCAGCCTTTGGGGGGCAGACATAAAGAAGTGATTATAGTTTATCTAAAGAAGAAAAGGTCAAGGGCAAAGACAAGAAACAGTTTTCAAAAACCAAAACCAAAATCAAAAGAAAAAAAACCCCAAAAGAAATCCAAACTGAAACAAAACCTAAGGAGCACAGATTTTTCTAATAAAAAACAACAACAGTCATCACAATTAATAAAAAACCTCCAAATAGTCCTAAATATTTCTGCCATTGGGTTAGTGCTTTAGAGATCTAGAATGAAACACTAAACACAGTCTTTCTTTTATTCAAGGGGCAATTTCTTCTGTTAGCTTGTACATTTCAAGTAAGAGATATCTTATCACCATGACTTCATATGCTACCTAATGTAGCCTTTGACTTTATTCCTGGGCTTCATTTATTCCGTCCCAAGTGTTTTTTTGAATGAAAGAAGATGACAGCAGTTTTATAGTCAGAAGTTCACTTTTTTAAGGGGTAGCTTTCCTTTGCCTAAATAGGTGTCCCAACTAAAAGCACCATTAATTATCTCCATTGGGTGGATATTTATTTAAGGCACTTTGCCTTAAGCTATTAACTGAGGGAAACAGAAAAAAAATAGATTTGACAGGGCTTAGATCTGGTAGACCTTTCCATAAATCTTATAGATGTTGCTTCTGTGCTTATGGGTCTTCTATAATATAAATACCATATCTTGTAGATGTTAGCAAATTCTAGAAGTATGTGGGGAACCAGGAATTTTTGCAGTCACTTTTGGAGAGCACAATTTGTCACAGATAGTATTCTATTTCTTAGACTGGGTTGAGGCCTCCCAGTTTAAATAGACATTTTGTATGTATATTTCACAATATCTAATAGAGAAAAATTTGTCAGCAAATATACTCAGTTTGGGACCTGAGAAAATCCAGAGTAATCAAAGCCATTCTCAGAGGGCTCCTGTGTGAGCCTGACTGCTTCTAGGTCTATCAGTACTAGGGATTAGATGCTTCTAGGGCTTTAAATTGGATACAAAACATACTAAAATTAAATCCCTGTTGAGTGTCCCAAAGGCCATGGGGTCTACAGACAGCACCACCTTTATTTAAATAACCTGGTAGGTTGTGGGAAAGTTAATAAAGCTGGTTGTGCGTGGACCAACCATTTGAGTGACTGGTCAGTTCAGTCAAAGCAACAAATCTCAAAAGCCACATCTAGACAAGAACTGTGGGTACTGCTTGTTCATTCTTGTCTTCTAATTCGGAAGAAATTAGAAGACATCCTGTGAACATTCCAAGAACACACCCAGCTCTCAGTTCTGCTCCCAGCAAAGTCTTCTTATGTAATTTCAGTAGGTTATGTTTCTCCTCCTGAGGACAGCTTTACATACGAGGGTCAGCCCACCATGTAGGGTTCACATTTCAGCATATTCATTTCTAATCTTACAGATTTACATCTTGGTCCTTAAGAGCTGGCACCTTTCTCAATGAAATGGTTCTGGGCAGTTTTAGCCTGCCCTTACTTGGCAGTCCTCATGCTGTCTTGATGTGTTTCTGTTCTTTGGACCTTCTACCCATCCTATACAACAGAACCTACATTATGATTTGGTTCTAGACATCCATGGATCAGCTTTGTCTCCCAAATGCTTCAACATACATAGTAATCCAGAGAGAGAACAGTATAGGAGACCTGGCAACAGAAAAAAGCACTCCCACCATCTGCCCTCAGCCATCCAGTCCGGCAAAATGAATGTGATGCATATTCTCACACAGTATGCAAACCACTGGTCATGCAATGAAAGTGGCTGTGTTTTAAGAAGCAGTTCGTTGGCTTTTCAGCAGGTATTTATGAGAAAAGTTGCCTTGTAACCAAGAAATATCCCCCTCAACAACTTACAAACAGGATGTTCTACCTGCTTGGAGCTGAAAACTTTATAGGTTAGAATAATATACACAGTGGTTGAGATCCCCAGCACCAGAATTGGACAGACGTGGGTTTAAATCCTGGTTTTTCTGCTTTGTAGCTGTGGTCCTCTGTCAGGTTACTCAACCCCTCTAAGCCTTAGTGTTCCAATATGTAAATTCATGTTTTTATGAGGAACCACTGACCAATTACAAAGACAGCTTAGAATGCAGTACGCATTCAATAAAGGTTAGCTATGACTATTATTATATTTTTCGAGAAATAAGTAATGAAAAGGTAAAATCAGAACTCTAATTCTGAGAATATGAACATGAGACCTTTGGGGCTCCTTTGAAAAAAAGTTCTACGTCAAAGGCGTTAGTACTACAGCTTCGAAATTACACAGAGCTTTTGAACAGTGAGTTAACCTATTATTTTTCAAATGCTCACTATCTAAGCATATTTTACAATTAAAATTTATTTTTTTTGGAATGTTTGTTGTAGACAAGGTCATGTAGTTTAGAAGTCTTCCTACTGAAAGGAATTAGTTGATTAAAAGTGTAAGAGGTTTGGATATTTTAAAAGTAGCCCTTTCTTCTCTTAATCATCCTTGTGGTTATCAGAGAAGTAACATCTTTCAACAAACAGCAGCTGATGATTTTACACCCCACACTGGATAGTATTTTGATGTGATCATGCAGATGGGTAGTTACAGGTCTCATAAAAAAATCCTGAAATTTAAAAAGTTGAAGTGAAAACTCAGCTTTCAATTAGAATTTTTATTTCTTTTAAAAATAGTGTGGTCACCAGGAAGAAGTAGAAGGAGTATAGATACTATACTTCAAAGAGTAAGATGTATGTGTTTCCTGCCAAGTGTCTCTCGTGCAAACACAAGGTAACATTTACCATGGCATAATGATTGCCCCATAAAGTGAATCATACATGGTCACAGTGTAAAAAATGTCAAACTTATGAAAATCCCTGTAATGAAAATATTTTAGGGATTTCCACCTTTAGTAGTTGCGTGACTTAAGTGATCTAAGCTGAGTCATTAAGCTGATGTGTTTGATGTCTTTGATAGAAAAACACTTTTTAACTCTTAAAGTGAAAGAGTCTAATTTTCAGGAAGAAATTGGAGGTCCAACTTCTCAGGTAGCTCTGGCTGCTTTACCTTTGTCTACAGTTTTGTTGTAATTACAATGTATTTATTAAGTAGGCAGCATCTGCCTCTAAGAACTGCAATTTCAAAAATCCCAAAGAGAATTATTATATGACAGTAAATTTGTTGATATGGAGATGATTAAATATATTCCAGTGAGACAGCTCATTCAGATCTTTATTTAATTATTCACTAAGAATCTCAAATGAATCTATCAAAACTAAAGTACTTTGAAGAAATTCTCAAATATGCATTAAATGTCAACTGCAACCTACACACTCTTTTGGGTGCTGGGGATATAGCAATGGTAAATGCAGATAAAGATTTTTGTTCTGGACATTATTTTATCATAAAAGCTATGCTTTTGGGACCTCCTAAAAAGCTAAACAAAACAAATCTAGCTTGATTTCTTAACACGGTATAACCAACAAGCACAATCATTGCATCTACATGGGTGTTCTTTTTGTAAGAGCAGAGACATCGACCAACATTAAAATTCACATTTGGAAAGTCAACTGCATTTCTTCTTGATGATTCTAAGACTTTACAAACCACTCTCAGTACTGTCCCCTAGCCCTCTGTCCTGTGGTTAGAACATACAAAATGACCAGATATGTGGTAAGCTCTCAAATTCCATTCCAACCCAGTGCCCTGCTCAGGTCTATCAGGGATCTGAACAACCTAAAGCACATGCTAGATAGAATTGGCAATCCTAAAGAAAAGTTAGAAATGACTCACCATTCTGTGCATAGCCACTTTCTCCAGAAACGACTTGAAGTAAATAGAAAACCATACCAAAAGCTGTACCTAGAATTGTCATTCTGAGAGAGAGAAAAAGAGGAGAGCAGGCGTGTAAGCCTATGTGTAGGAATGAATGAGAGAGAGAGAGTGCGTGCGAGAGTGAGAGAGAGACTTAAATCTACAGCTTTAGGGCTTTCTACTTATTTAACCACAGACAGGGGGAAGTATAAACACAGCAAAAAAAGAAGGCATGTGCCAGAAACAGGAAGTCAGAGTAAAAATATTGCTGCTGTAAGCAGAGATAGAGGAAATGAAGGGATAGAACATTTAAAATTATTATACCTCTCTGGTATTCCTGGTAGCCCCCAAACTTACTGTGCTTATTTCAGAGTAATGTGGTAGATTTAAATCAAGACTCAGACTATTTCAGACTAGAGTGTGAATCGGGCCCACTTTAAAAGAATTATGAGACACAAATCTAAACCTACAAAACTAATCAATTGGTTGTCAGGGGTGAGTTTTGCTTTAAAGAAAGATTCTGCACTTAATGAAGTAATTTGTTGTAGGTATATGTTAAATAGTTTATAACCTTCAATCTCTGAACACAGAGAGTTCTGTTCTCTTTGTAGCCTTAGGAGTTACTTATACCTTACCCATCACAGTCGGCATTCAAGAATGATTTGTTTAAGAGGTGATAAAGTATGAGTGAGGGGGCAAATGTGGCCCATCACCTGTTTTTGTAAATAAAATTTTATTGAAACATGGCTGCTTTTGTGCTACAATAGCAGAGCTGAATAGCTGAGTCAAAACAATGTATGGCACACAAAGTAAAATCTTTACTATCTGGCCCTTTATGGAAAAAGTCTGCCGATCCCTTGTTTAATGGTTAAAATAGTTATTTTCTCCATCAGGTTAAAATAGGATTCTATTTGTGAAAATCTGATTGCTGCACAGATTTCAGGAGCATGTGGTCCATAGAAACCATACTAGTACCTATATACATATGTGGGGCAGAAACCTGAAGCAATGACAGATAATTCAGACTCTCCCTACACCTGTCAACCAATCAAAATTGTTCTCAACATAGCCTCATGGTTAAAGTAGTGATGTTTGTTAAGCCTGGCTGACCTCTTGGTAATTGTTGAATTTTTGTCTTTAAGCCATTATTAGTGTTTGGAGACAGAGGTTGAGAGCAGTCCTGTCATTAACAGACAGAAATGACTCCTGAAGGACATACCTCTGATCATTAGATGAATAATCTAACCTGAACTTAGCCATAAAACTCTACTCTCTTGCCTCACAGGAGCGCTCTTCTAGAAAAAAAAAATGCAAATCTAAGATAATGAGGACAGAGATGCTGAGTGGACAGTGAGTTATGAGGTTCTGTTTGATTCATTGTTATTGGGTAAAATTGGTCCTATGGGCCTGTAAAAATGGTTAAATTAACAAAGATAATATCCCCTAGAATATAAAACAAAGAGTCTGAAAGCTGAGTGAGTTAGCTTGTCTCAGCCATTACAGTTATGCAACGATCTCATAAAATGAGAAAAGAGGATTTGGAACATTTGGAACAGTCTTTGGGAACCCCCCTTCAGTGTTGAGTCACATCCAGAGATGGCGTGCCTTATTTATAATGTTACACTCTGGACTACAAACTCAAGGGATATTTCAGAACAAGAAGATAACTGAATGGGAAATAATCTCTCTCCTCCATCTGCTGAGGCCTTCTTTTGGCATTTTCAAACAAAAGAGTGACAATTGGTGCATCAGATGGTAATTCACGTTCTCTTTTCTAATCTTGTTTGGAAAGCTTTGTTAGAAAATCAGAAGCCTGATTCAGGAAACTTGGTAGGTTTTATGCGTTGAGCTGAATATCCTTTCAAGAAAGCTATAATTATAAATTTCCATGAACTAAATAAGTGTTCAAGGAAAATCACAAATTATATCTATCACCAACGCAGGTCTCATGAATTGCTCACAGATTGTCACTCCGTGGGTGAGCAATTGGGTCATGTCTCTTTAAATACTCTTGTTTATCATTTAAGTGGACTATCATTTTGATTGTATCTCTTTCCTTTAGTTGTGAAGATGTAAAAGAACAAAGCCAAGACACAATATTTTGGTACAGCATGTGCTAGTTTGCTCAGGGGATTTCCACTGGTGTGCTTGCTCTCTTTGGGTGGGGCAGGAGATGCCAAAGGACCTCAGAGAGAAACCTAGATGAAGCGTGAGGAGCTCAAAGAAATGAGAAGGCTCATTAGTCCTTCTAGAAATCATGGGGTAACAATGGTGTCCCCTTCACTTTCTTCACCCAGGGCTTGTTAGTCCTTCACAAATTTAAATAAGCTGAGGAAGAACAGCCTCGCTCCATCTGTTCCCCAAATGAGAGACATTTACTATATTGCTTTGCCATTATTGTCCATGAGAGAAGTGGAGAGATAAGAGAAGCAGATCAGGAAATATGCTCAGGACCCCTGAGGCTCCAACTGAGAAATTAGGATCTGAGCACTGAACAGTGGGCAAAACAAGTCATTAGATGCAGAAGTTTAGTTGGAGCACCTTCTCTTCTCTCATCACTTCCTTTCATCATTACTTTCTCTTCTTTTTTATATGTTGCTTTCCTTTAGTTTCATGAGTTGCTATGATGTGCTGAATCATAAAAAAGAAAAGGCATTTGATTGTTTCTCATGTACAACAGAATACAATGACCTGGTGAGGCTTCCAGGATCAGTGGGTCATGTTCTCTCCTTTCTTCCTTTTTTTCTTTGGCGATGGTTCAGACTACTCATTAAAGAGACAAAGCACATAAGGAAGATTTTTCTCTTTATTTTCATACTGTAATAAATTATGTTTCCTTTGTATATAACTGGTAGAGCCCAAATGAGCTCAGACAAATGACCTTTAAACTAGATTTGAGATTCCAGAATGTTAGCGTAGGAGGAGTGTATACACTCTACTTGATTGTTTGTTGTTTGTTGACTTGGTAAAAGTCCACCCCAGGATGTCCCATGGTTTCTCTCTTTTTCCCAATCAGTTAAGGACAAAAATTTCATTTCCATCCTTAACAGAAATTATAATAGAAAGTTAGTAGAACAGATACCAAGGCATTATCTCTTTCAGCACCTTGGGTAACAAATTGTTTCAAGAGCAAAAGTATTTCCCTGAGTCAGTTTTTAGATGAGGCTTATAAAATAGCCCTTAAAACATTTAATAATTTGTCCTAAATGAGACAGATTTCAAAGTTACTCACCTTAAGATTGAATTTTGAAGGACAATAAAGTGAAATAATGAAAACTACACAACAGTAATAATGATGGGCAGAATCTGTTACTATAGGAATATCCTGGGTAAAATCTGATATTTGAAAAATACTCGAAAAGTTCCAAAACACATTCTACAAAATCTGTATTAACTGTGCCCTCCTTCTATTATCACTTACCTTCTTTAATTAACAGATTTTATCCATAACATGGAAAACAGTCTTCTGCTGGAAAAAAGAAATCCAGGCCAGCTCACAGGGTGACTGGGGACCCCCAAGAGCTATGGGAAAAGAGAAAAAAAAGCATCCAAGTTTGTCAAGTAGGTGAGGCTGGCTCTAGGGAAGCCTAACCTTGCTCTAGTCCTCAATGAATTGTCTTTAGTATTTTATCAATGTGTGCTGAGTCAGTCTCTGGGGTTCTAAGGGGGAGTCCCAGCATCGTGAAGTTTCATTTCCAGGAGTATGTTTTCCTTGTTGTGGCTCTTTTTTCATTTCCCTTTCCTCCTTCCCCCACGCCTTCAGCCCCATGCCTTGCTGTCGGCTTGTGTTCTTTTGGGGCAGAGTTTGAAATGTCATAGTTGTTTTGCCTTTACAAGAGTTTAGTCTTTGTCTTTGGCTGTAACAAAAATGGAGGTCTTTGAGTGTCAACGGTTCATTCTCTGCTGAAGACATTTCTGCCAGAAAGCGAGTATTTTGATGTCAGGACACACTCCAATTTCAATAAGAATGTGAACAATTGCATCCATTCTTGGGGAAAGTGGCATGATTACTTCAATGGCTGCAGATCCTAGTGCTTTTGTGGGCAGCTGGAGAGGCGTGTGTCTATCTGGAGCTCACAATCTCTCTCTCTCAGGCCCTTCTCAGCAGACAGTTCATGGCAGGATCCTGCTCGCAACCCTAGTGTCAGGCACAGAGCCCCACAGAGAAAAATCTGGATTAAGTGGCACCATCCTGGGCCCTGGCCTATGGCCCTGCACAGATTTCCTTGCCTTGAGGTGAGCTCCTAATTCTCACAGAATACTTTCTGAGGGACTGCAATGTTGATTGCCACAGCTGCATTCAAACCCAGACAACTGGGAAAATTGGTAAAAACCCTCAATTCTACTTCATATTCTCCTGCCCTCTGAGAACCCAACACCTCTGTGTAAATTGAGTCTTCAAGAACAGCATTGGTATCCTATAATACCCTATAATTTCCCAACCTAAATATCTAAATAGGCAAAGTCAACATTAAAAGTGACCCTGAGTGATACTGTTCTTGAAATTGCCACATAGAAGCAGCAAGTGTTCCTAAAAAAAAAAAAAAGGGAACAAGAGGTCTGTTTGTTGCCAGACTACAACACTGGGCAGTCACTTCCAGAAACTTTTCAAGAAAATGGGAAAATTGTACCTATGTTTGCTTACCCTCTTGTAAACCTTTTACTTATCAGTCTCAGGAGACTTTGGAATTTAACATAGGATTTTTTCATTGTTGTTGTAGTATGTATTAGTTAGGCTATGCTGCTAAAACAAGGAGACCCAGAAATATAGTAGTTCTAATACAGGTGCAAATTTACTGCTCTCTCATAGTAGATGATCCATGGGGTAGGCAACTCCATGAGTTCATTCAGTTAGGAACCCAGCCGACTTTTTCATTTCCTAGGATGTTGTTCTTGTCTATGTATTTGAAGTTAGCGTTCAGCACCATGATCTCATTGCAGTCCTTAGGAAGTAGATACAGGAAAGTGAAGAGAAATCAGTTTTCTTTTAAAGGACATGATCTGAAAGTTGCATATATCACTTCTACTCTTATCCTATTGGCCAGAAAGTAGTCACCATGGCTACTTTAGCTGCAAGCGAAAAAGGAAAATGTAATCTGAAAAGGAGTAACTATGTCTCCAAACAAAACTGGAGGTTCTATTAGTAAAAGGAGAAAGGTGAGAGTGA